ATGATCGACATGAACTTGAGCTGCCATAGTATCAATCTGACTACACGCCGCCACGGTGAAAGAGGGGGTTGTCATTCCTAGGATAAAATGAAGCAAGGGGCGGGGCGCGGAGGACTCAATGAAGTAAGGGAAATGATTCAAATCATCGACTGATAATGACACGTGTGTCCGCCGCTTTCTTAGCCGTCGGATCTGATTTTAATCGGATGGCTCACGAGCAACGTACTTACACATACTAAGTTTTGCAACTGAGTAGTTGTTGTAATCCCCCCACTGCAACATCTGATGTGTTGCGGGATCTGGATCCTCCGCCTTCTGTGCTCCTTCCGAGCCCCGGTCAAGCCAAAGCCCACACGCACTTCTCATATCACCAACGCCAGCAAACACGCAAACAAGGCCGCCGACAGGCACGACTGCCGCCGTCGGCAAGCACGCCGATGAGGCCATTCACCTCCCGAGCCCCCCCCGCAAAGCTGGCGCCTCCTCACACTACTCTGCCCGCCGCCATTGGGGCTCGCCATCAGCAAGCATGCCCACACGGTCGACCCAGAGGAGCACCGACGTCCATGGCTGTCGCCTCCTACAACATTATCTCAATTATATAAATTTTCTGCAACTTGACCTTTGTTGCAAAAAATTCTGCAAATATTTCCGCAACATCATCTCAGCTGCAAAAAAAAAAAATAAAAAAAAAATCGGCAACATGATCTCCGTTGCAAAAATTTCTGCAACACGACTTATGTTACAAAAATAGAGGATGGCGCTCGGCCACTAGATTGAGTCAGATCGGCAGCTCGCGAGGCGGCGGATTTTTTCAAATCATCCGCAGACCGACGTGTAGCGCACCCCATGAAGTAAACGCTGCACAGATGTATAAGTCGTTATGGACTTCTGGATTTATTAGGAGAGATTTTTTTTCCTCGGGAATCAGGAGAGACCTAACTTATGAATCAAATTAACGTGTGAGCTCAAAAGGTGCTTTCAATTAATGCTCCATCCTTAAAATGTACGCTGCACAGATGTAAAAGTCACATTAGAAAGAGCACTGCGACCTAGGTGGATTGTGATTGGACGAGAAGGAGCACGGCAAGCAGGGAATCTTCCAATCACAACGCTGGTTTAAAACGGAAATAAAATCAGCATTGAATACGTGAGTGCATGCAAAACAACCATCAATCTCTTGCCTAATCAAAGTCCAGCAGCGATGCATGCACTGGCTGGCACCTCCTTTTTCCCCCTGCACTTATTCTACGTGGGCAGTAGTACGAGGCTGAGAGGGGAACGAGAAAGAAATTTAATGCAATGCGTCTAAGACTTTTGAGAATATCTGATTTTCGTAAGATGACTTACACACCTAGACGGAGGGAATAAGTCGCACTTGATTTTGTACGTTTTTTGATGCAGACTTTGACCATTAATATATAAATCAAAGTACATGGACTGAAAATGTATAAATAGTTCTCGTATTTTTCATGTGAAACAATTTATTTTTATATGTTTCTACATTATTTTTGCAGACATACAATAAGTGAAAATTATAGTCTTGTGCGATGAAGACTAGAAAAATTCAAATTCCCTTTATATTTGGGGAAGGGGGTATATTTTTTTCTTCAAAAAAGCAGATTGAAACCACTGGCCTCCATATCAATAGATCCACACAAACATCTTTATTAAATTATATATATAGAAAATGGTTACAACAACCACTATTGCAGAAATGGAGTAGATGACAAAGTCGTCTCAAGGAAGGACCAACTGAACAGCCTTTGTTGATCAGTCATAAACGAATAAATCCAAATATAAAAGGAATGTAATAAACCACATTATCTTCTTTCTTATGTGCAGCACCCTCGCCTCATATACTTAATCTCCAGGTCTGCACTTTCTAATGATTGGGACCTGTTTTCCTCGCTCATCAGGCTGTATATTTTGCATCATGTTTCTGTCCTCTGCAGTTGTATACACATGAGCTTGACTCAAATGTAGTATATAGAAAACTAAACGAAGAAATTTAAAGGAGGAAATAAGATACTCCAACCGGACGAGAACATTACCAATTCTGAAGAAACGAAACCAGAGTGTACTCTTTACCTGTAACAACGAAATTTTTATCAATCAATTGTTAAACAGCTAGGTAAACCATTATTATGATGGAACACAAACAGGTCAGAGCCCGCTAATGTTCTTTTTCTATCAATCAATTGCCACACTAACTAACAGCTAGCCAAACCATTATTGTGATGGATCACTAAACAGGTCAGCACCCGCTAATACAGCAGGCTAAGTTTCTTTTGTTTCTTTTGTTTCGGTGCCGTCCAGGTTTTCGCCCATAGTGTACGTTCTAATATCGGTGCAAGTGGCATTTCTGGCAGTGCGTTGAACCGACTTTCCGTTCTTTCTCGTCCCCTATTTAAACTCTAGAACTGTTGTATTTTCGTTTGATTAAATTGAAAGAGGGTTAGCACGGTTAAAAAAAAGGCTAGGCAATGCGCCAGTTTGTTTATCACTAATGTACCACTGTTCAGTTGAGACATCTTCTATTTGCAATTTTCTTCTTCTTATGAGATGATGATGGGGTTGTCAAAACTCGGGCCGGGTGGCTTCGGCCCCTCCTTACATTGGAAGTACTGGCACATCTTAAAATACTTTATGAGGCCTTTCTTCTCTGAATGCACAAATCGACAAACTGCTGAGTTAAAGTTGTCGCCAATGTCCTAACCATCATCTTAACCCCCTAATCCTACAACTCGTTCTTGGTGACCAAACGGGTTTCATATCTGAAGGAATATTGTGGAGAATTTTGTATATGCTGCGACATCATCAACACATGTCATTCTAAAAAAAACGCTACAGTTGACTCTATGTATTGTGCACTATCGCACATAGAGATTCCAGTGGTCAATAATAAGCAAATCTGAAAATCAAAAATGCCATTAAAAGTTAAAATTTTCATGTGTTATCTTCGGAGAGGAGTTGTGCTAACTAAAGACAACCTCGCTCGAGAAATGTAGTTTTTGTACTCATGACGAGACAATCAAACATCTCTTCTTTCAATGCAAGTTTGCGTGTTTTACATGGCCAGTTATTCAAATAACGTCAAATTTGTATCCACCGACAAGTGTTACCAATATATATGGTCACTGACTTGATGGAATACCAAATATTTTTAGTACGCTAATACGGGTGGGAGCGTCTGCCTTACTATGATCGTTTTGGCTATGTAGAAATGATTGTGTTTTTAATGGCAAAATCTCTTCTCCTATGCAGGTTATTTACCATTGTACGCACTGGCTTCGTATGTGGTCTATTTTGCACCGAACGAAGTATCAATCGTTGTTCAAGACGGTGTGTATGCGGTTGAAGCGGGTGACCAGGGAGGTTTTTATCCAACATGGGTGGCAGCATAATCTCCGATCGGTCCACCTTCTCCGTCGACATAGGCATAGTTTCGGCTTCATATGGCTTTACTGTTGCCACTTTGTCGTTTTTATATCTTTTTGTCAGATTGTTTGTTTCATGACTGTGTGCATCTTAGCTATGCAGAGGCCGGTGTCGCTCTTTATGCTTTGTATCCGCTCGATGCTACATTTTGAGTAATAAAAGGCCCTTTATCGAAAATTCTAAAAAAACACTATGTTTCTAAAGTCAGACTTTTATAAAGTTTTTGACTCTCTCTCTCTCTCTCTCTCTCTCTCTCATGAATCCCTCTCCACCCTTTTTAAAAAAATGAATCCCTCTCCACAATCCTCCTTGTAAGAGGTTTCCCTACTCAATTCTGCTCTTGGATCAATAGTCCTTTCAACTAGGAAAACGACAATCTTACTTAGTGGAGTACCAGGGGATTGGATCAACTGCAAACATTGGTCTACGATAAGGGGATCCACTATCATCATATCTATTCATCATCGTTGCATACCTTCTACAATGACTAATCCGCCAAAATCCACACCCTCTATCTCTGCACCACCCAATCTCCCTCCACCTACCACCCACTACGCTTCAGTATGCTGACGACACCCTCATAATTGTCGAGGCTTCACCTATGATCGCCCTAAAGGATATCCTAGATGACTTCACCAGGGCTACGGGTTTAGCCATGAACTTCAGTAAAACAACGTTCGTACATATGCATTTCCCTGCCAGCCAGGCATGCTCAATAGCTAATATTCTTGGCTGCCCTGTGTGGGCCTTCCCTCAAATCTACCTAGGACTGCCGCTTTTGCCTATTCCACTATTGCCAGACGCCATTTTACCAATCCTATAAAAATGTCGCAAATATCTCTTGGATGGAAGGCTAAACTGCTGTCCAAAGAGGACATGCTAATCCTATTATCCGTCGTCCTCAGCTCTCTAGCCACCTACTTATGTCTGTATTTAGGATGATCCCCCAAAAAGTGCTCAAAAAATAGATGGCTTTCACTGTGTTGGTTGTAGAGGAAACATGTACAAGTGTCAGTGTCTAATTGCTCAGAACAACGTTTGTAAAGCGAAAAAGTTTGGTCGTTTGGGTCTAAAGAACTGGCATCAACAATACAATTGCCTCTTATTAAGTTTGAAACAAATTTTTGATTTCCAAACACAGGAAGTGTTATTGGATTATCCCTTGATTCTTGAAACTCCTTCGAACATTCCTGCTTCGGGGGTGCTACCCTAATAACTCTTTTCTTTCTTAGACTTTTTAAGAAACGATAAAATTTGCTATCGCACATAACCCAACGAAAGAAATTCCCCGAATCAAATGACAATCCGCCGAAATGAACAAATTGCCATGATGCAATCAACACCTCCTTGGGAGAGTGTGAGTACATACACTAGCATTAGCTAACCTATCTCTAAAATGTAGATGAAGGTAGTCCGTGTCCAAGTCTAACATCATCACAAAAACAGAAACGCGCATGCACAGGCTGGGGAAACTAACTAACTTAAAAAGCAACAAAATATGATGTCTCTGCACTTTTGCCTCATCAGTTCTTGAAACAAAGCTCCAATTGTCTTCTCGGCTAGTGTCCAACTAATATGGGCTCGATCAGCTCCCTGAGAGGAGCTAGCTCTGCCCTATCGATTAACTGAAATTCCTGCCAAACAAATAAGGCCAACAATAAGTAATTGTAATGATTGGACCCTATGAGGCACTCGATTACAGACAAATTTGTTTGAGACTCGAGAGTTGTAAAGTGGTATGCTGCTGAAATAATAATAATACTAATCATGAGGAGGCAATCTAAATTGACAAATTCTAGTCGATAGAGCAATCAGCAAACCACCATAACTAGTCTCTTTGCGGTGTGCTTCTTCCGAATAGGCAGGATGCTTTTGTGTGTATAATGATTGATCACAGCTTTCTAAACAAATAATCTGACTCAAACAATTAGATGTTATAATTTAGAATCATCGAACCGGACTACAAGGAAGCTCACTTCTTTTGCATTCCATGATAGGAGAGTTTGGTACTAAAGGCAGCCATACTGGAAAGCTGAAGTACTGCCATAACTTAGCATCAGCCATGCAAAACTAGTGTATGATGTGATTCTATTCCACATGCTACTTTACTTGGTTTTGAGTACTGTATGGCTTCTCTTCTACTTCCTCCATTCACAAATATGAGATGTTTTGGATATTATAGTATGGACTACATACAGACTGAAATGGGTGAACAAACACACCAAAACATGTCTATGACTCTATATACATCCGATTCAGAAAACAAAAACTAGAACCTCGCATATTTATGAACGGAGGGAGTATTTCTTTGCCGAGAGGACACTTATTATCTTCTATCAATTGCCTCGAAACTATATGCAATAAGACAGTAAATATTCCAGCAATTGTTGAGGAATGCAACTTTGTGCCATGAAGTTGTGGAGTGTGGTTAGTTACCCATGTGAAGAGCATGAAGTGCTTGAAGCAGGTGTTGAGATGTGCTTCTTCCTGGAGCTTGAGAATCATCTGGAAATGAGAGTGGTATATGTGCGCATACACCCTGAACAGCCGCTTGAAGATCGTCTTGATGACGTCCCAGAAGTTTGGAGGGAAGGGAGCTCCTGTTGGCATCACCGTTTTTTCACCAGAGTACATGATTAGACCAGGATTCTGAATCAGTTTTTCACTAGTACACTAAAAAAATATCAGTTACCAAGCTTTTGAGGGAAGATGGATTCTTCGTCGAGCTGGGCTTCGATCCAATCCATCAGATACTCGACATACTTTGGTGCGGACACTTCAATGGGCCTCTTGATCTTGACTCCATCGGCCCACCTGTACTCATACCTGTTTGAAGACAATTTTTTTTCTCATTAAGTTCAGAGTGTGACACAGCATATAATATAACATATTATGTTAAGTGCATCTGCAGGTGACAAGATTTGAAGGAATGTACTTTGGACCGGCTGACATGGTGGGGCAAGTAGCTGGCGTGCAGAACTCCATGAGGGTGCCGTACAGGATGTTCACTTGGTTGAAAAAGTCGACAGCTGGAGATGGAGGTCATCAGAAACTAGTACTACAAGCTAAGACACCTACTTTTTTTTCTCGATAAAGAATGAATTTTATTGGCTCAAAATAAAGTATCAAGAGGATATAAATACAATTAAGACACCTGCTAGGTGTACAAAGATTCAGCTCATCGACAACTGTTTCATCAATCATCATTAGAAAGAAGAAAGTGTCAAGAATGAACTCACTGTTGACAGCGAGCCACTCGTTGAGATCCTCTCCGACTGGCAGGCGGACCACCTCTCGCAGATTACCGCTGCCGATGGTGGCGTCGATGTGCCTCTTCAGCTTCATGCCCTGCGTAGTACAGTCCAAATATTTTTATATGGTGATCAACTTGGTAACTGAACTTCGTTTTCCGGATTGAGCATGTGGATCATAATCAGTTGGAGGTAGAGTTAGATGATGATCTCAGGGAGGGATTTGAAAGCCTTTTGATAAATTTTGACAAACCTTGACCAACATTTATCAAAATTTGCCGAAAGAAGAGAATAATGAAAACACATGACGATATATATATAATTCTTGCATGTACTCCATCTCGGTTTATTAGTCTCCTTGGGATTTTGGATCAAAGTTTGACCACAAATTTGACTAATAAAATATGAGTTATATGTAGTGAAAATGGTACCATCATCGGAACCTTCTTTCAAATATGAATCCAACAGTAAAATATTTGTGAGATACCCCTTATAATTTGTTAGTCAAATCTATGATCAAAATTTGACCCAAAATGAAAGGGGAGCTAATAAATTGGAACAAAGGAAGTATGTAGCAGGTAGCGTACGTTGTTCCCCGCTGAAGCACTCTTCTTGGGCCGGAATGTCCTTTGGTTCCTACAAGCCAATCAAAACAACAAATCAAAGTGAATCGACCGTCAGTTTGGATCCTTGGCCTTCCTCGTCCTCACAAGTAGACAATCAATCGATGAAACGAGACATGAGAAGCAAGAAGACGATGAACAACAAACCAAAGGGAATCCAGGTGAATGAAGGAATCAAAAGCAGCAATCAAAGAAGGAATTATATCTGTTATGGACCTGCTGGCGCGACCAAAGAAGCTCTGCATGGTACGACGGAAGACGCCGGCGGCGAGAGGTACAAGGCGGAGCGCTTGAGAGACAAGGACTGAAGCGGTGAGAGAGATGATCCGAGGGAGGGAGCTTTCAGAGTTCTGACGTCTATATACCTGACGTACGCCGAGAGAGAGAGCGATAGAGCGAGAGACAGGCTGGCGGTGATAGATAGATGGAGCCTGGCTGCCTGGCTGGCACCGTGAGTGCGTGCGTGCGTTGCATCCGTTCCCCGTCTGTCCTGTTCTGTTATCCACTCACGTCCGGCTGTGCCGCCTTTGATGGTGTCCGCTTAATCCAATCCAATCCTGCTTTGTTGGCACTCATTCAGCGACAGCTGGCTATATCCAGCCTTTCCATACAAGTAATCTCAGGACCCTCCTCGGTACGATTGCGCTGCTTTTTTTTTCTTTAAACACAGTACAGACCAGGGTTTTAGTTACCGTTCGAAATTTCAAGATTTACCATGGTTACCACGTATTTCGGCTCCCCTCGATAAATGATCATTTCGAGCAAAAAGAAAATGAATTTTTTGAATTTGTTGATTGCAAACGCTCAATCTCAATGTATAGTAAAGTATGTCAGCACCTCACATCACTCGTGTAGACAACGTTGTACTGAGCTAGTAGCTCTGTTATCATAAATATAAGTTCATGTGCTATCTATATCTATCTTGAAAGAATTTGAATTCAAAACTGAATTATAAATTTCGTTCAAAATTTGCTCAAAATTTCGTGGTAACCATGGTAACCACGTTTACTGCACCCCCGCCCCCCTCAGAAAAAATAACCCCATTCGGTAACCAAAACCTTGGTACAGACGCAAATGCCCAAGGTACAACGAGACAAATTCATAACTTTTAGCCACTTTCTATGCCTAGGCTTCCAATAGAGATCACGACTCCATCAGTTTCAGTCAGAGTAGCCAGCCGCCTCCCTGAAGACTACAGAGGATTCTCATGGCCCTCCCTCTACGCCCATCTCTCTCTCTCTCTCTCTCTCTCTCTCTCTCTCTCTCTCTCTCTCTGCCTTGGGGAGCAACATCCACTGTGTCACGGTGGGATTTCTCCTCCCTCGCCTTACTCGATGTTGTCGGCTTTCATGATCTCGTCTCTTTGCGATGGAGATGATTGTGCAGCGGTGTCGACAGACTCGAGGTGGCATGGCATTCTTCGACTGTGTGGCAACTAATGAGTGCAAATCCAGTGATACAGTCCAAGATATGATTCCTTGATCCTCAATAGTGTGGTGCGTCAGATTTGGACTGTGCTGATAACCAAAATTGGCGGCTTTGCTCGCGACATGGTGAAGGGGTGACGAGTTCGTGTTGATGACGAAGACTGGTGCCTTCAATAAACACGCAAACATAAACAATTTTTTTGGTGGTTTCGCTAATGACATTGTGAAGGGTGACAAGTTTGTATTAATAGTGGTTCTGTCTCCAATTAGTAAATATATAATATAGTTAGACCAACCGCTATTATAGAACCGTGTGACCCGTGCATCGCCTCCCATGGTGGCTCGGAACAGAAATCCTAGCCGTCGACACTACAAGGCGGAAAGGCGAAACTGCAAGTATGCGTCAGCTTTCCTGGTGGGGTTCCCTTGCGCGGAGTCACCAAGGAAATACCACTCGGGCTCGGATGCATGTGGTGGTCTAGTGTCAGATTGGTTCCCTAGTACATGGGAGCAAGTTGTTGTGTGTGGTGCTATCTCACTCGAGCTTTGGAACTCGATGGTCATTGATGGGTCTTTGTGAGGGTTCCTCTCTCCAGATCTGGTGCCTGCTGCCAGCACCTCATTCTGGTGAGGTTGTCGAACGCTGGCGGGAGGCTCCTTTTTGAATTTTGGCGGTTCACACTCCGGCCAGTTTGCCTTCGACGTTAGATGCAATTTATTGACTTCGGCTCAAAGCAGATGGTATGGTTGTGCAGTGGCAGCAGTGAGATTTCTAGACTAGTGCATGTAGCTGCTGACATTGCAGAAAAGTGGTAGCGACAACACATGATTGACTCTGATTTGGTGGTGCTCCTAGAGTACCTAGTCTCGAGCTTTCAGATGAAAACCCTAGATCCGACCCGAGTGGGTTATAACTGGCAATGACGATGTTTTTTGCATTGTTACCTTGTTGAAGGGATTGCTCGGATATGCTCGGACTTGTTCTTCAGGGTGAAAACCTATAATTTGGCAACCGGTGTGTTCCTTCCTGAATGTGTTGTTGTTGAAGAACATTGTTGTCCTTGTGGTCTCAAGAGATGATTGGTGTGGATATGGTTGTTGTTGTAGTATGTCAATCTCTGTTCGATCACTTTGGCTAGTTATTTTTCTCCTTTTGGCTATTTTTATTTTTTTTCTCCTTTAGGCATAGCTTTGGTCTTGTATAATGTAGCTCTTTGCCGGTGTGCTTTTTGCGTGTGTGCGTTTCGGCTGTGCGTGTCCTATTTATGCAAGATTGGGTGTGTGTCTACTGAATTTGTATTGACTTGATGCTTCATTTTTCTATCAACAAAATCCACCATTTATCCTAAAAAACTACTATTGCAGTAATGGAGTAGACGAAAAGTCATCTCAAGAGGGACCAACGGAATTGCCTTTCTTTATTAATCAGTCATTAACAAAGAAATCAAGATATATAAGTAATATAATAAGCACATTATCTTCTTTCTTATGTGCAGCATCCTGGCCTCTTATACTTAATCTTCAGCTCTACACTTTTCTAATGATTGGGACCTGTTTTCATTGCTCACCAGACTGGTCACCGTTACGCACCAATAGTTTAGATCATGTGTTTCTTTCCCCTCTGCAGATGGACATATCCTCAATGACTAAAAGAGGCCGAGAGTGAGATTTTAGCTCCGAAATTATTTATTTATTAGAAAGTAGTATGGCCATCATTAGATTGTATAACAATAAGACAGCACATGAGTTTGACTCAAATGCATAAAAAGCCGAAGGTGAAAAGAAGATACTCCTATTGGACGAAAACAGTACTGATTCTGAATAAACAAAACTAGAGCGTACTCCTTATGTGTAACAATATTCTTTTTTAGTAGTTAGCTAAGCCATTATTGTGATGGAACACAAAACAGGTCAGAGCCCGCTAATGTTCCCGTTTATCAAAAATCAATTGCCACACTCACTAACAGCTAGCTAAACCATTATTATGATGGAACACAAAACAGGTCGGAGCCCGCTAATACAGCAAAGCTAAGCAACGCGCCAGCTTTCCGGTTCAGACATCTTATATCTGCAATTTTCTTCTTATGAGATGATGATGATGGGGTTGCCAGAACTCAACAGGACAATTGTAAAATATTCTTCAAGAGGGCTGGGACCATGATGATGTTGTACGTATCTGTTTGTCTGACGGAGCAAATCAAATCATCCTAGCTGGCTGTGATGTTGTTATTGTTGTATGGTGCATTTTGTTCTGTTTCATGGGGTTTGGTTTAGGTGGAAGTGGTTGAGCTATCACCATGAGCTGACATTTTTATCCTTTTGAGCCTGATGAAGCCTAAGACGCATCCTGGGTTAGTATCTCTGTTTCTAAAGGTCGAAGGTCATATACTAAATAAACTAGAAAGTAGAAATGAGAAATTACATGTAAGTCCTTGAACAAATCAGCGATCTCTTCCTTTGCATTCATTAGCAGTGCGAGCAAGCTCACCCGTGGGCCTCTGCATTTCCGGGACGTGGATCCTCTGACTTAATAATCCCTGACATACCCTGCCTTTGAGTCACTGACAGGTGGGCCCTGTGCTCTATGGGACCCATATGGCAGTGACTCAAAGGTAGGCTAGGCCACGGCAGGGGATCCTCGTTCGTATTACCGAAGCAACTTTGTTGAAACCAAGAAGCTAATAAGCTTATAGGTGTAATGACCAAAAAGTTGTCGATGTATATTGGAAGGGGAATTGGATATCGCCTCCCTGAATAAAGCGATGCCAAAGAGGGCCAGAAGATAATCCCACTTCAACAAGACAGAGGATGCGAACACAAACCTGACAAGTTTCCCGATGGAGTCGGCCAAGCTTCACTTGATGAAGATGAAACTTCAGAACAAAAAGACGCTGCAAGGCCATCCCCTCCGTATGAAGCATCTGCCATGGACAAAAGCTAATCACATCACATCGTATGTCAAGGATGGACAACATCCTTCGACTCATAGACTCCACTTTGAGGAAGGGCATAGACATTCGGAAAGCCCCATTGTTACCATCAAAAGCGAAGGTCGGGAAGACGCGGGGGCCGATGGGAAGAGGCAGCCACCTCCTGGTCGTCTCCTCTCTTGATAACCCTAGAAAAACATTTTGTTGTAAGAAAGAGGACAAGTACCTCTATTGCTACTTGTTTAGCATGGGCAGCTAGACGACCAGTGAAGCGCTCCGAATTTCGCCCATTTGATCAAGAAGTGTAGTTTGTTTAAACCATGTGACCATGCCATTAACCTTTTTGCGAGAAGGATCTGGATTTTTCATAAAAGTTCACCTTAATTACAAATCACCATAAACATAATAAATATTACTTCAAGGTCTCTGAAACACAGAACAACCAGTACAGTCACCAGAATGAGTCGTCGACGTGTCGATGTACTCTACCGAAGCGGGCCTGGCCTTGTCGGTCACAGCTGGGAAATCTTCATGCATATGCCCTAATTAAAAACAAACGCCCTGAAGCCACAGTCATCGCCACTAAACCGTTTAATTAATTTAAATATCCTAACACCAGATCTGACCACTGTGTACACATGATGAGAAACCCTAACCATGCCAAATCAACACCTCGTCATTAACTTGCACTAGTCGAATGCCCATGTATTACAACGCGCTAAAAAAATACACACATCACATACGAAGGCTAGTGATGATCTAGACACGATAGGCTCAATGGTGGGCGGCAACTTGGAGGATTGTCTTCGATTTTACCAAAGATAATACATGGGTACATATATGCCATGTAATTTTCGGTAACAACAATAAATTATACGTCCGGAAATATTTGTCGCAGAAATGCATAAAGATGGATGTATTTCCGGACGGAGAGAGTAGTTTATAGTTTTTCTGAATAGAAATATGACAGATTATGTTATCTAATATGAAATAACATAGATTTTTATATGCCACGCGTTAAAATAGGAGCACATGGGCATTGTGTGCATGTGGTGGCAAAGGACAGATAAAATTTAAGGTAGGAAGACGAAGGTGACGACATGCCACCTACAACACC